GGCCCCGCCCTTCCCCACCGCCTCCAGCGTGCTGTCCCGCAGGAGCTCGAGGACTACTTCTACTACTCGCAGCTGCGCAGCCAGGGCATCGACACCATGGAGGCCAGGCGCGTGTCGGCACGCATCTGCCTGGCCGAGCTGCCCTTCGTCATGAGGGCCGTCGGCTTCTACCCGTCGGAGGAGAAGGTGGGCGGGCGGCCACGGGCCGCGGCCGTGGGGTGTCCACCGTCCGGCCGGCCCCTGTCGCCCGCGGGCCTGGCGCAGGCCGCAGTGGTTCCTGCCGCTTCCGGCCTGGGGAGCCTCGTGGGCCTGAGCGGGGGAGCCGGGCGCCGGCCCCTGGGCCGCGGGGGCGCCTGGGCCACTGTGGGCCTGTCCACGCTACCTTATGCACTTGTGCCTGTCGCCGTGCCTCGTTCGGGCTCCCGCCTTTGGGGGGACCCACCTGGCATCTGCTGCTGCGCTGGGGCGCGCCGGTGGCTGTCCTGGTTGCCCTAGTTTTGCGCCGTGTGAGGAGTCCGTGGAGGCAGAGACCCCGCGCTGGCCCAACCCCGCGCTGGCCTGTCTGCCTGCCGCAGGGTGGCGGCCACGTGCTGGGCCTCGGGGCCCCTCTGGTGGCGGGGCAGGGTGGGGCGCGCCAAACGGTGGGCAGCAGGATGGGCCCGTGGTCCGCGGGGTGTGGCTCACCGCCAGCTGGGGGCGCCCCGCCCCACCCTGCCGGTTGGCCTCTGATCCCAGCTCCTGTCCCGCCCTGCTGGACCCGCCAGGTCGTTCCCTGTCCTGTGGGGAGGTGACCAGACGGTGGCGGGGCGCTGGCCCTGCGGGCCCTGCTGGTGCCCTGGCGCCGTTGGATCGTCCAGCCTGCGCTTCCACCAGCCCTTGGGCATGGGGCCCTCGCCGGTTTACCTGCTTGATGCTCAGGGCCAGTGTCCGCAGGCCTTGAACTCGCAAGGCCTTCGGTGGCTGACAAAACGCAAGAGCCACGGGGGGGGGGGAGCTAGAAGGGGGTGAGGGAGTGGGGTGAGGGACCCCGGGGCGGAGTGAGGGGCATGGGGGCGCTCAGACCACCCCGGTGCTGCAGCTCTCTTTGCGCCTCACTTTGGCTGCCCAGGGCTGAGCCCAGGTGGTGCCAAGAACTCAGACACAACCCCCCCAGAAAAAGCCTGACCCCTCGTCTTGTGTATTGGGGTGCGGAGGCCGAGGCGCGGCCAGAGGAGGCGGGAGTGGACCACGCACAGGTCTTGCCTCCGGCTGGCCGGCTGCTTCAAGGGAGCTTTAGGGCGCTTGGAAACTGGAGGGCTGGGTGGAGGCTGGAGGTGGGGGGTAACTGGATGCCCCAGAGGCAGTGGGGAGCAGAGCAGGTGAGTCCCCTGAGACTTGGCTGAGGGGCAGCGGGGGTAGGGGGCCTGCTGAGCCCCGGGTCCCTCCCTGGCCGGCCTGGACCGGGCGTAGCTGCTGACCCCCGCCATGCCGAGACGCCTCCCGGCCCGGCCTGTCTCTCCTTCCTTGCCTGGTTCCGCTCGAGCCTGGTTACTGCAGTGGACCTCGCCCACACGATGCCCTGAGGGCGTCTGTGGGCACCACGTGGGTCACTCGTGGGCACCTTGCAGGGAGACGTGGGGCATGTGGCCCTGCAGGTGGCCAGGGGCCCGCGGGCAGGCAGGGTGGGTCACTTGGTAGCTCCCCGCTCAAGGACCTGCGGGGTCCGGGGACGGCTCACGGCGAGGCCGCGCAGCCCTGGCTGGCGTTCGGCCCAGGTTTTTGGTGCCAGCGGCGGCCAGCGCCTCCTGGAGCCGCGAGGTCAACTCAGCGTCCACCCGCTGTGGGCGTCTCTCTCCTGCGACATCCGTGGGGCGGTGAGGTCCCCACGGCTGGGCACCCCGCGTACCGCCTCTTGCCCGCCATGGGGCGGTCAGCGTCCGGCGGGCGGAAGCTGCTCCCACGAGGCTCGGGGCCGCCCGCTGCACACCAGCGGTCGCCCTCCTTCAACCGCCCCCAGATCGAGGACATGTTCAACGAAGTCAGGTTCGGTGCGTACGTGGACACGGGGAGGACGGTGGACAGCATCGACCTGCCGGACTTCCTCAAGGTCTATGTGAACCACCGGCCACCCTTCGGCAGCACCATGGGCGGTATCCGGGACAGCTTCCGCGTGCTGGGCTCGGCCGACGCCAGGGGCCAGCCGGTCCTCCGGCGAGAGGACTTCCTGAGGCTGCTGCTGACCAAAGGTGGCACAGCTGGCAGGGCCGTGGGAGGGTCTGGGGACTTCAGGGAGGGTCAGGCACACTGGGAGCCGGGGCGGGGGAGGGGGCCCTGCCGAGGGGCGCTGGGGGCGGCGTGGCCACACCCCTTGCACGAGCCTCCTCGCAGTGAGAGGCCGCTGGCTGGTCGGAGATGGTCAGGGGCTGGTTTCCCAGCGGCCGCCCTAGCCGGCACTTGCCGGGACCCCTAGGGAGGCCGGTGCCAGCGGCCTGGCCCCAGGGAAACGGGGCTGAGCAGCTCGAGGGATGCCGACTGAGCCCCGCCCCGCCCCGCCCCGCCCAGGCGAGCACATGACTGAGGCGGAGCTGGCCGACTGCTTGGCCACGCTGTGTGGCCTGAACCCCGAGGGCTGGAAGTCCGAGCCTGCAGCCGCCTCCTTCACAGGTGCGGCTCTGCGGTGCCCCGGGGTACAGACCCGCACCGGTCGGCGGCCAGGCTGCACCCCCCCCTCGCCACCCCGCGTGGGTGGCCACAGCCGCGACGGTGCCGCCGGCCAGAGAGCCGGTCGGGCACCCAGCAGCCCCCCTGGAGGGAAGACACCGATGTCAGGGCCGCAGGGGGGTGGACCAGGAGCCAGCCCTACGGGGGGTTTGGGGGTGTGGGAGCACCCTCGGGTGGACACTGGCCGCTCCCTGCTAGGCTCGGAGATTTGCTTCGAGCAGGAGCTGCCCGAGGAGATCTCGGCCGAGGCATTCGCCACCGACATCCTTGGCCTGACCATCTCACAAGACCTGGGCGAGGATGCGCTGCGCCCTGAGGCGGCGGGGAGCGTGTGAGCCCCCCTGGGGGGAGGCTGGGGGGAGGCGTGGGGTCCCCTGCCGCCTCCCCGGCACCACCCTCGGGGCGGACTGACGCTGGAACATTAAAGGCAAACTTGAGCCACAGCTGGGTGTCCCGTGGGCAGCCCAGGCGGCTGGGGGGCACAAGGAGGGGGGAGTGTGGGGGAGG